TCAGATAACAACTGAAATACTCAACAGACTCAGAAAATGTATAACATATACCTAAACTGTCTGTCTGACTTGAATCAGTGCTGGTAAGAGACTCAAAACTTGGTGTCATTGAAAACCAAGACTGGACCAAAAAGTGGCCCATCGACTACTGGTCTAGCCAAAGTTTTGAAGCCAGAGTCGTACCAGGCTGTGATTGGTTGGCGGTCCGTCTCTCCTCGCCTCCACGGCGTTGGCCGGCCACCATCGCTCCACGCCACCTCCACTCTCACCTGTCGGCTCCTGAGGGAAGGCCGTCCAGGTGTCGTCTCCACCTGCTGTTTGAAGACACAAATAGACAATTTATACGCTTAATTCACAGGTTTACAGCTGAAATTGGTTCTGGATGAGTCAGAACCAATTCTGAATCATTTTCTCATTGTGTTTCTTGCTGCCTGTTCCTTTTCACCTCACGGCCACATTTGGCTGAGTTTTTCCTCCGATTCCTCTGACTTTCCCCCCTGGCTCAGACGAGGCATGAAGAATCCACCTGACACTTCCTCTGTGTGAATGTTTCTCCCTCTCTCACTGCCCAATAACCTGAGGCTAACAGGAGCTTAGACTCACTTTTTCTCCTCCCCCTCCGCCAGCCCAACTCTGAAAGATTAATAACATGTAGTGAGAGGGAGTAGTCGGCCAAAAATCCAGGTCAGGACAGACTAGAATAATTTATCCACTCTGAAAGTGCTTTCTAAAGAAAGACATTACCTATATTTGTAGAGGAATATCAAGTTGTATTCATCAAAAAATGCTAGATGGAATTAAATTATGATCTTGTTAGTTTTGATCTTGTTAGGCTACAAACCAGGGAAGAAAGTTTTCGATCGAATCACGATTAATTGAAAGGCCGTAACTGTCTTAAAAACTTCAGTTTTCTGTTGCATCAAGAGAAACGACAGTTTTTCCACAACACGAAGGGCTACTTTTTCTTTTCTTTGTTTTGTTTGTAAAATGCCGAATTAAAAAACAGAAACGCTACATTTGAACATGTTTTTCAGCTGCATTAAATATTGACTGAAAACAACAAAATAATAACGGTTTTCCGTCATAAAGCACATCTGAATGACTGTTATTAAAGCAAAAATTACCTTAAGGAGTTTGTAGAGTGTCATTTTAAAACAGAACCGCATAAAATTAATCTTAAATCGCACTACGGACTCCGGTTGGACAGTTTCTCTTTTCTGTTCTGGTTTAACATAGACATAATATAAGTCTATGTGGTTTAACCGCCGCCATCTTTAATTGCTGTATTGATGGCTCCGCTTAAGGAGGATGACCAGCGGCGCCCCCAGCTGGATGGCGGCCGCACTACAACACTTATAAACGGCCTAAGCGGACGCTATCAGATTGGGACTCGTTTTAATCTAATAAATCATTACCCGACAATTAATTCTAAATTGATTTATTCTTTGAACTGTATGCTACACCAATTCAGGCAAAACTTCTCCAACCAATTTTGCATAATTTTCCGTTATTTCAACCAGTTCAGAGGTCAGCTGTTTAGCTGTTTTTCTCCTATGAAGCCACTAAAGCCACCATTAACTATCTTTTTCTTTTACATAGAAAAGTACTCCTAGATTCAGGTTTCTATGTATTTTTGTTGTGTTTTCTCACAATAAACAGATCTGTGCTGCATTGATAGGAGTAATTTGGAATGTGTGTAATTGACTTCTTTTTAATAGGATCAACATTAATAAACTGAATTCAATTATCGATTAGTTGGATAAATAATTGGAACATTCTGCAGATTTTTTTTATTTAACCACAAGGTAATTTAAAATACAACAATAACATAATATTATAATGATAATATTACACCTTATTCTTAATATAATAAGGCATAATAACCTTATCTTATTGATAAGGTTATTATTATAATATCCTTTTAACAAATAATGTTATTTAAATGACCCTATTTAAAGGTCATTTAGACCCCGAAAGATTTGCGTCTCTAGTACTGATGCATTAATCAGATCTATTCAATCTAATTGCTTTGTGCTCTATTATTTAGTTTACATTGCATTTAGAGTTCCTAATTGCGCTTCTGAATTAAACATATTTGTTTTTTACATGTTTGACCACGGTAGTCAACCTATTGGTTTTGTTTCTTTCTTATTTATTTTACATTGGCTGTTGTACTCCTAACTGCTCTGACTTAGCAAATTAAAGTTGTTTAAATTTTTACATGTTTGAGGAGCTAATGGTGTATTTAAGTGTGCTGATGCAGCAGAGATATGAGATAAGTTTGTAATTTTGTACATTTATGTTTGCATAAAAAAAAAAATCCCAAAACATTTTAAGTAAATTCAGCTGTTTACTTAAAATGTCCTTTATGCTAAAACTCAGATGTCTGTATTGGAAATTAAAAAAGTGTATAGTTGCAGCCAGAATCTAGGCTAAAAATGCTTGGTAAGATTTTGTGTTTTTGCATCGCGCTGCATTCCTGAGGGATCAGAAAAGGTTAAAATGGCTCCTAATACTCTGCACAAGTGTTGCTGGAGGTTTCTCACGAGGTGGTTTGACAACTTTTACTCTTTGTTTTTGGATTTAAAAAGAAATGAGGATGAGAAACACAGGAGAAGAAGAGTGAGAATGATAAAATAATAAAGTTTGGGCCTCACCAATTCTCGCTCTGCTCCCAGACGTTTCCGAGGCGGACATGTTGACCCCGTCGCTCCAGGTCGGGTCTCCTTCTGCCTGCATGAAGACCCCAAACTCATCCTCCTCTTCCTCCTCAGTGGAGGAGACCCTCACCTCCTCTGCCTTCTCCTCCAGCTCTCCACTTGGACTCCTGCTCTGTTTTTGGCTGCCTTCCTCTTCCTCCTCCTCTTCTTCCCCACTGGTCGCCATGGAAGCCAGAGAAGGGGCAGGATTAGAGGAGGCATTAAAAACCAAGGTAGATGTGTTTTCCTCTTCATCCTCCAGCTTCCTGCAGGTGCACTCATCCTTTAGTTTCTCAGATTTCTCAGAAATTGAGAGATTTTTCTGTCTGACAGGCGAACAGAAAACCACTTCCTCTTCCTGAAAGTTGTTGTTTTCCTCGCGTTTTTGGAAAATACGAGGTTCTCTGGTTTCCTCATCACTGCTAATATTTGTTTCCTCTTCATGTTCAACTTTACATTGGTTTTGGTTTGAAAAAACCCGGACTACGTCCTGATCAGCACCCCCTACAGGAATGGAGGACTCTACAGAATTAAACTGTACTTCCTGCTCCGTTTCTTCTTCTGGGTTTTGTTCAACTCCCCTTACAGGAATGGAGGACTCCGCAGAATTCAACTGTATTTCTTCTTTTGCATTTGGTCCAGCGCCCCCTATAGGAATGGAGGACTCCGCAGAATTCAACTGTATTTCTTCTTTTGCATTTGGTCCAGCGCCCCCTATAGGAATGGAGGACTCCGCAGAATTCAACTCCATTTCCTTCTGTGGTTCTGCTTCGTTTTGTTTGGCTTTACTGTCAGGAATGGGGGAGTTTTGCCTCTCCTGAAGTCTTTCGGATAGTTTCTCTTCATCAACAGCCGAGTCGTTTTTGGAGTCCAACTCTTCTGCTTCCTTCCCGTCCAGGTCCAGCTCAATCGCCGTTCTTCTTGTCGGACTTTCGGCTTCCTCTCGATCATCTTTGCTGTTTTTTTGAGTGCGGGTTTCGGGTGGAACATCGAATCTCTCCGACTGCTTTCCTTCAGGCGTTTTGCAGCCCCTCTCCCGGCCGATGCCGGACTTCCTCCACCTGCGGCCGGACCGCACCCTGACCCGGTTCGCTGCGGCCTCTGTCGGCGGCGGCTCCGCACTTCCGCCTCTTCCTAATCCTTCTCGCTTTCCTCTCAACCACTCTCCGACCGTGCTGGAAGTCGAACCGGAACCGGGCTTGGCGGTTGAGTATAAACAGCTTCCTTTCTCCGTCCGGAGGAAAAGGCATTGCGTTTGCGTCTTCCCGCCGCCTTCCGACGTCTTCAACGTGGCGACCGTTACCAACGCGCCGATCCCGGCCTGCCGGGCGTCGACGCCCAGTGGCAACCCGTATCCACTCAGGTACACGTCGGCAGGCCTCGGGCAGGACGTCGACGTCCCTCTACCTCCCAGCGGTGGGGTGGTCGGGGGTTTACCTCCACCGAGCAGACCGCCGGCTTTGCGGCGGTTCCTGGAGCACAGCGCCCAGGCTCGGAGGCCGCGGATCAGCGGCAGGTCTCCCAGGCCCAGCTCTACTCGGCTGGGGAAGGGCAGCGAGGTTCTGGAGCACCTCTGGAGCATCTCCCGGGGGCAGTCCGACATGCCCAGGCAGGGGTAGTTGTTGTTGTTGTTCTGCTGGAGCATGGCGCCTGTTGTCGGCCTCATCTAAGTTTTATGGTTGTTTCCTCACACCAGTCAGTTTAGTTCGTTTTAATTAGTTCTTTTGCTTAGAAAGTTCGGCTCGTTTGTCTGATGCGGACCAAAACAGCGAACCTAAAAAACTCCTCGGTTTGGTTGAACGTGTTTGAATGCATATATGAACACCAAGCGGACCGAAGGCCGCTCCAAAAGCAGGAAGTGGAAAACAGTGCAGGGCATTCTGGTTACTCTTGTTTGTTTCAACCAAAACAAACAAGAGTCTAGCGGGTAAACTGGCTTGTGGTATTCTCCTAAAGACAAAAGAGAAAACCTACAACTGCTAAAATGTGAAACCTCCGTTTTTGTTTACATTTTGTGGAGGAAGCTGCTTTTCAGAGGTTTTTGTGTCGTTTCTTTCAGTCGTTCTTGGTGCAGCGCCCCCACAGGCGAGCAGGGGAACAGTTTTTCAATTAATTTGGATGTTTGACTCAGTGCAGTGATTTTCAGGTTGAGCTGAATTCTCATTTGTGAGAAGAAACGCTGCCAGACTCAGTAATCATATCTCGATTCAAGGCACGGCAGCTCCAATAATTCAGACAAAGCACTCTGTGCGTGACGAAATGTCCCTTTTGGAAACTCCGACAACAATAAAACCAAAACAATAAGCTGATCTTTTTAATCTTGCATCTTAGCAGTTTCCTCTGATGGTGGAAAAGCTTCAGTCTCTGAGTAAAAGCAGAGGAACAAGCAGGTTACGTGTCCTGCTGTCTCTGCTGATGAGAGCGGAGGTAATGAGGATTTTGTTTTCTTCCACGCCGATGCGCCGTGACGATGTCTTCTGACCTCTCTGTCAGCTGGACTCGCGTCTCCAGGGCCGATCGGGCTGTCAGAGCAACCAGGCTGCAGAGGAACAGGACAAAACAGTTAAAGCTCTCAAAGGAGAAATAAATATTCACCAAGAACAAAAAGGACATTTCAAGATTAAATTGAGTCTTATTTACAAACTGATTTACCAGAATTTACAGAATGTAACAAAATGTAAATCTGGTTTTGCTTTCATTTTTGCCAAAAGTTGACATATTATTCAAACTTTTTACATTTTGTGACATTACAACCAACAAACTTTAGCTTAGCCTAAAATATTTAGGCAATAGATCAATTAATTACATGATGAATTAACAAAGCTGCATAATTTCCATTTGCATGATGGTTTATTTTTCTACCAAAAGCTGGATGATAAAATTCTTCAGTCTGGTGTTTTGGTCTAAACTAACCCTCCTTATTGAAGGCCAATTTTGTTTAGAAACTTCATACTACATTTTATTTGTTGGTTGTAATTTTATCTATTTTGAGTTAGTCTTCCAGTTACAGTGTTAAATATTCATTAGAAATTAAAGTGTATTGATCTTTGAGAATGTGTTCACTATTAATATTACAACAATATTATCATTTGCCACAACAAAGCTAAGGCTACGTTGCTAACGTCAATTCAAATTGAAGTTATATTTATGTTCTATAATGCCTAAGTATTTGTTTATATTATGTTTTTTATTGTCTGTGTTTTATTTTGGTCCTATATGTTTCTTGTTTGTAATAATGTTATTAGAAAAAAAAATAGAAAGCAAATCTAAGAAGAGGAAACGGAATAGCTCCTCACCCACTTCAAAATAAACACGATTATAAACGGCTAGCTAATTGAAGATTTCTTAACAGTCGAACACAAATGTCAAACTTCTTCCAACGGAAAGTTTACTAAACAGTCGAGTAAATTCGTGCTTAAGAATTGATGCGGAAACATTTATAGGAAGCTAAGTTAAAGGTTTTCAAAGTTAGCAAAAGGAAAAATTAGCTCAAATGATTCACACATTAGTGGAAATGTGCCCACCACTGGGTTCCAATATGTAACTGTTATAACCATGTAATGTGGATTTGAGGCAACACACTTATTTAAAGGAAGCTAAGTGTGCTAAACCTAAAAGTTAGAATCAATATAAGAGGAAACATTAGCTCTGCTATTAGCTTCAGCGTACCCACTACTGGATAAGTAGTACCTTTTTAACCCTGTAGATGTCGATTTGAGGCAGCACACTTATTTTAAGGAAGCTAAATGTGCTACATGTTTTCAAAGTTAGCAAAAAGCACTAAACCAAAAATTAGCTTTTCTATTAGCAAGTCACTGGACCTCACAACCTTCCGATTGCAAGACGACTACTATGACAAGTTTAACGCCGTCCATCACTGACTAGCTTCCCTATCCCTGTTAAACACATTCCCATAGCATGATGCTGCCACCACCATGTCTCACTACGTCTGTTCAGGTCATGGACTCATTTCCCCTATACTCAGCGTTTTGCATGAAGGAGAAAAAGTAAAATTTTGGTCAAAGTTCAGCCATATCAAATCTTGGAATATTGTTTTAGAACCACAACTTTAAAAATTCAAGACAGAAGTTTATATTTATATTTCTACGAACATAATTAACTCTTTAGCTACTTCACAATTCCTTCATCATGTAAAATCCGAATTAAAATACCCAGTTATATTGAGACAAAATGTGGAAAACTTCACGGTGGTTCTGTTCCGGGTCGTTAAAAAACATTAATTTGGTTTTAATTGACACTTTGCGCATCCTGGTGCCACTTAGATCAGATGTGACATCAGCAGACGCGTAAAATCCAGATTTTATAACATGCACCATCGGGGACAAAGGCAGGTGTTGGCCACGTATCATACCAGCAGCAAGTGTGTTAAGATGAGCCACCAGTAAAACCAGTAGCTTCCCCACCAGAACATCCAGAACAGAAGGTTCCAAAAGCGGATTCCAGTTTCTTACCTGATCAGATGTTAGGGATTTTAGTTCATTATCATTTATTCAACGTCCTTCCACATCTTCATTGTTTACAGAGGAAGCTGGTGGAGCATCCTGAACTGGGATCGCATCATTTCCAGTCGGCCTGCGCCACTGACGCCACAGAATCAGGAAAATCAGCGTCCGGTCCGGTCCGTCAGAGAGCGGGGTAACCACACACCAAGGACCCGTTCCTCCGTCTCCTGCGGCCGCTGCGCAGCGCCTCATCCGCCGCGGTTCTGCGGGGCGCATCGACGCATCTTTCCGCAGTCAGTCCCTCAGTCGCCTCCGGTGCGCTCAGCCAGCCGGATGACAGAGAGCGCGTTGGACCTGCAGCCCACTCACCGATGGGAGGAGAGATGGCAGGGAGAGGTGAGGCCAGCGGAAGTGTATGACGGGTTGTTAATGCCACGCGGAAGTGGAGGCTTTTTATTTTTTACCTCAAATGGGCGATCGCAGCTGGAATATACAACGGCGGGTTATATGGACATTAAAACAGGGAATCAGTCCGTTAAAATCTAGAGATTAATCTCAGAATTTTTGTGAAAAAAAAATAGTAATTAAAATTCACTAGAAGTTGATATTAATCTGAAAAAAAAATCTAGAAAAAACATAAAAAGCTTAAGAACTAGAAAACTTTTCAAAAGTCGCAATGTAAAAAAATTAATTGGAAATTTCTTAGTTTCATAAGTCAAAAATCTTCAAACTCAAGTTAAAAACCTCAGAAATGTCTGAGTTTTAAATGTAAAAAAATTAGATAAAGAAAAACTCTGAACTTTTGAAATTAATCTCAGAAAAGTTCTAAAAAAGATAACACTTGGAAATTTAAGAATTTGAAGTTATAATTGGAAAAAAAAAACTCAAAATAAATTTTGATTAATCATAGAAATTTTCTTGAACACCCTCAGAAATCTTGAGATTAATCTTGGATTGTTTGAGAAAAAACAAACTTCATCGCTGAAAGAAAATAATTTTAACTGTAAATTTGCCATTATGAATAATTTTGAACTAAACATCTCAGAAAGTACAATACACATGTATATAAAATGACCTAAAAATCATAATTAAAATAGGTTATATTCTAACAAAAACACAAAGTGTTACTTTAAAAAAAAACAGTTAAAATTAAGAACAATCTTGAGTTTTCCATGTGGAAGTGCAGCTGGTGACACTGCAGACAAACCTTTTCATTTCCCCCTGACTGTGGCACTGTTTGCTCCTCATAGATCAGTTTTTATCCTTCTCAGACACACACATTGCGGAGATACGTTTTCACTGCGTCATCGCTGAAGACGAGCTGCAAAACACACACACCGCCGGAAGACGTCATGCATCCGTGTGTAGTTTTCCATGATGGGCTGCACAGATTTTATCTGACTCTTCATTCATTCAGGTACAGCTAGAAAGATCAGGCGGAAGTCACTAGTTTCAGAAAATAAAACACACAAAATATCACTTTTGATTAATATGGTTTCTAGATAGGGGGATTAATAGATAGTAATTCTCCCCCCAAAAAAGAAATTCTGTCTCAGAAAATTAGAATATAGCATACTATTAATAGTATACATATATATATATAAATAAAACTGAGACTGTCATTTCTATGTCTTCAGTACTTGGTTGGGGCTCCTTTTGCATGAATTACTGCATCGATGTGACGTAGCCTGGACGCCAGTACGTGCCGCCTTTATGGCAAGCCGTTCTAACATAAAATTAGCTTCACTAATTCCATTCAGATATTTAAATCGGTTTTTGACTAAACATACGAATTGTGGCATTTATGAATTTTCAGATGGAATAAAATCTGTTTTAATGGAAACTTAAATGTTTCTTCCCCTAAATGTTGGCTTTGCTACCCTGACATTCATTGTTCATCAAGAAGATGGCAATAAAAAAAACAACAAAAAGAGTGAATATTTTATTGTCTTTCCAATGCAGCTCTGGCACAACACTTAGTTCTGAAAATCTGAAAATCCAAGAGAAAATGTGATCACCTCATTCATCCAGAAAGGTAAAAACACCTGTAGAGCCGACCCAATGTTATCTTGACTTTACTTTGCTTTTTAAAAAACATTTTTCCCCTGCTAAACGTTGCTTCCTTTCAGTTACCAAAGGAAAACTAAACAACAATCAAATGAAAAGCACAATTTTGCTCTCAGATGCTTTAAATATTTTACAGCTGACATTTTGAATATCGCTTTCTCTGATCTAAACAGTATTTCCTCATTTTAGAAATGAAAATGGTGAATATATTGACTTACTGGCAGACAGTTTTATAAAGGTAACAGTTAAAGGCACTTCTTATATTATTATGTAGCACTAACCACACAAAACACATTAAGCTACACTTTGGCTTTTGAGCAAATTAAAGCTTGCCACTCCTTAATTAGTTTCATTGTAGCAGCCAAAAATAAGATCTACAGTTCCTTTTTGTGTTGAACTCTTTGAATTAAATCCCTTAAATTCCCATCGCCTCATTTTTACGTTTTTGCAACAACAATAAAATCTCCATCATGAGACTGTTGAATAATTTCCAGGTGATGCAAAGTGAAAATATAAATATAAAGAGGCTAGCAGCATGTTGACCTAAATGTTTGAGAGAAATCTGCCACTATAAGGTCAGAGGTCACAGAGCAGAAGAGTCCAGAGCATCCTGCGTACACACAGCGGTAAACTCTGGGACGTAGCACCAACTAAATGCCTTCAGTATATATCTACGTAGAAAATAACAGCCTATCATCTTTATAACCTCACACTTTTACTGCAACACCAACAAAAGAGATCTTCAGATTAAAAAGAAAAAACAAACCCAACTCTGGTGAATATGAAAATAATTACATTTTGAAGGGACAATGCTTAAAAAAACAAAAAAACAAAACGCTATAATATAGAGATATTTACATAAATCTATCCAGTATATTTTCTGATTGATCAGCATAAATGAAAAAAAAAAATCTGGTACAATGTATAGTTCTCATGTGACGTCACACTTCCGGGAACTTTGTAGCTGACCGCCATCTTGGTAGGTAACGTATCTTTCATGACAGTTGCTATGACAACAACAAACAAGGCACAAGCTTAGAACTAGCTCTCACCTTGTTCCTTTCTAACTTATAAAAATATAAAAACAATTTCTCGAGTACTCTGCTTTCTTTTTGTTGGTTCATCTATGCTTTGTGCTGGACTTGCCTACCAAGATGGCGGTTCAGTGGTGCGGCTCACTTCCGGTTCAGACTTGTTGGAACTGCATCGACTCTGCTGGTGAGCGTAAAGTTATTCGCACTTTGAATAAACAAAAATAAATAATTGATGACGTGTTGATATTTAGTGTGTTTATCAAAACTGAACAAAACTGGATAAATAATTAGGACAAACCTAACAAAACTAAATGAACAAAAATAGTCAAATGAAAAACAAAAACAAAACTGGTATATATTACTCTTTAGTTGTAATACTGATAGTAACGCTGGTTGATAAAAAGACCTTGTAGTTCATCACAATCATGCCTGACCTCCTAAAATATAAAAGATAAACTTTCATTTTCCCCCACATTAAAATAACACTGCAACCTCATCAGTCTAAAAAAACACAAAAACAAAGAAAACCAAAAGTTATTTAAGATATCAGTACAGCATTCTCAGTAGTTAAAAGTCTGACACTTGGTGAGTAGTTACTGAAGACTCGCCGGTCCGAGTCTCAGTGGTAACCAGGTGTCTGGTGATTCTCGTCGTCTTGGTGACCGTTGTGACGGTTCCCTCCTCTGTGGAAGAGACTTGGTGCTCTTCGGACATTTGCTGTCTGGCGAAGTCGAGTCCTGAGGTGTGGAGACAGAAGGACCCAGAGACGTCCACCTCCCCTCCCAGCTCGCCCCTGCGCTGGGCAAGAGGGGAGCCCTCCGGGGTTATCTGGAGGAAGCCTGGGGTCAGGAGACAGGGACAGATGCGAGAGGAAGCAAGGAAGAGTGCGGAGGATAAGTGATGAAATCAGGACTGAAAGGAAACTTTGTCTTCAGTAAGAGAAAACAAATCAGGAAGAGAGATGTTAATGGTTCAGGAACATCCTGTAGATACTACAAATGATCATTGCTGGTGGGTCTGCTCCTACCTGTGGCATGGGGCTTCAATGTGAACTTGGGGACCTTGAACCAGGAGGTAGATTCCTTTTCCTCTCCCTCTTTGCTTTTGCTCTCCACCTCGCTCCACATCTGAACCTTTGTTGATGTGAACTCTGGACCAAAACCCAGTGGAGACTCTGAACTGTCCCTATCCAACATCTCCGTTCGGGCATGAGATGACACCACTTCCTTTAAGGCCATTTTGTCTGGAGTTTCAGCCCCTTGGAGGTCACCCTTTACTTCTGATGAAGAGTCCTTTCCTATTTTATCCCCTGATGCCATCTTGCTGTACAGACTAGTAAACTCCACCTTTGGAAGTTTGATTTTGCCCCCGAATGTCCCTTTATCATCCTTGTGATGAGTTTCAGCTTTTTCTCCATTGAGACTTGAACTGTCTGCCTTCGAAGTGACATCAGCAGACCCTGATTTGCCTGACGAAAATGAAACTTTGGGCATTTTAATCTTTGCACCTTTTGACTTTTCCTCTTCCTCTGCATCTCTTTCAGATTTATCTTTAGACTTCCCAAAGCTTGACTTCTTTTTGATTTTGGGGATCTTCACTTTGACATCTTCTGACTCAGCTTCAGCTGCTGTCTTCTTGTTTGGGGGGATAATGCTTGCAGATGCCTGCTCTGTTTCATTTGGATTCACCAAAACAAAAACCGCTTTCTTTACTTTGGGCATTTTAGGACCCTCATACCGAATTTCTGGTCCGTGGATATCCATCCTTCCTTCAGGAGATGAGATGGAGGGTAATGGGACCCCAAATTTAGGGATCTTGACTTTCTTCTCCGTTTCTATTTTGTCATCATCTTCATCTTGTGATGTACCAATATCAAACTCTATATCAGGTATTCTAGGTACTTTGACTTCTTTACTGGAAGATGCCGGGCCTCCATTGGTACCTGAGCCTGTTTTGAGACTAACGCTTGGTAACGTCACCTCTGGTGCTGTGATGTTAACTTGACATTTATCAGTTGCATGGCCATTGTTTTTGACATCAACATCCTCACTGTGCTTTACTTCTGCGGTTACATCTTCAACACCTTTCATTTTTGGCACTCCAATCTTGAATTTTTTACCCTTCTTTCCCTTCTTAACTTTGCTGTCGGCTCCTGATGTGTTTAGATCCAGGTCTGGTAATACAATTTTTTTCTTGTCCATCTTAACTTCCCCTTTTTGAAATCCTATGTCCAGTTCTACATCTTCTTTTGGACCTTCGATATCTATTGTTGGCATTTTCAG